ACTTGACTTCAAGTGACCAAGAAAAGTCAAGTAACACCTTTGATACCAATGACAAAAAAGTTCTCAAAGTAAGAAGAACTAACTGTAAAGTGCCTAAAAACCTATTTAATCTTTGAAACAAGAGGTATATAAAGGTTTTTAATGATAGAAGGGCTTATTTTTTCTCTTCCAGTTACTGTTGGGTCTCTTAGAGCTATTGCTTTCATGGTTTTCTGGGAAATTTTGCCTACCTCAGTTTAACCCTGAATTTTTGATAACACAAATTCTCACCAAAAGTGATTGGCTGACATGAAACACATTAGTTTTTGGAATATAAACAGGCTTTTATTGGTTATATTCATGTGTTCCAATAATGTTATTGGTGATTGGAAAGAAGATTCTGGAAACATTCATCCCCAAAAAGCTCAAGTCCCTCAATGAAAACTTCCATGTCACTAAAAGATCAAGTGATAGGTAATATGGATTGCAAACTCCTATTTCTTACCTAAGTTCCTCAAGTAGTGATAAAGCTTTAATAGAAAAAAGCTGAGATCTAAATGCTTTTCTTGAAATATTCTAATCTGATGCTCACTTAAATAAAAGACCAGTTGGATTGACTCATCCGATACCACAGGTGGTAAAAAAGAAAAATTTTTCCAAGATTCAAGTGAAGTAAGAAGACTATCCCAATCAGGCAAATTCTTTTTGAGAAGATATTGTTTTTATTTTTGGATTTTTTGGTGGATCTTGAATTGTTCCCTTTTTTCAATTATTTTTCTTATTTTTCCTTTCTTCTTTTTAACTTAGCAATTCATTGGTTTTCAGGCAATTAACAATAACAAACTGTTAACAATGATCCTAGTAGATAGAGGTTATTCTCAATTTATTAGGAAAGTAAAATATTATTCTCAAAATCTGACTTAGAGTACTTTTATATAAAGACATGTTAATTTTTTTTTTTTTTTTAACTAGTCCAACTGACAGGACGAATCTTTATTGAGGAATCAGTAGTATATTTTTGGATTACATGAGCAATTCATATAACCTTATTTTAACTACCTATCCTAGCCTAGTCTGCCAATTTTATCATATAGTGATACCATTTTCATCAGTTGCTCTGCTCTGCTCAGAACTATAGCATTCCGAAAGGCCACTATGGACTTCTTATTAATCTTCAAAGGGCTTGTGTACTGTGTTTTTTAGTGTGATCTTGTTTACCACTTGATGATTGTGGGTATTATGGATGATCCCTATCATATTTGGGTCTTCCACATGCTAGTTGAAATTTAGATGGTGCAAGTCTCCAGTCATATTCTTTATATTCAGGTGATTCAATGGTATTACGACGATTGGGCAGCATATAGCTTTCCATTGCCTCATTTTTAACTACTCTTGTAAGTTGGCCTTACAGAGGTTTTTCTTGGTTACTTCGTAGTGGATTGCTCCTCCCATTGGATTGGTTACCTTGGTAGTTGTTTCCGAATTTCTTCTCCCAGGGTCTGCCCCTGCAGTCCCCAACGTGGTACTAACGCTAACCACCAGCCTTCACAATAGCTGTCCTCTTTGGTAGCCATTGGTTTCACAATCGAAATTGATCTCCCATATTATTCACTTCCCAGCCCGTTACATTTTCAACAGGTACAAATGACCGAAGTCTCCCTTATCTCCCATAGGGTATATTTTTGACAAGAGGTGAATATTCTTCCCATATCCGTTAAGAGGCTTAAACTGATCTGCATTTTTTCTAGCTTGTCTTGGATCCTTGCATATTCTAGGTGATAGTTTTTATCGATGATTGTCTTGGCACTAAAACTGGTCAAGACTTGGATGACCTGAGTAAACTGTGGTCAGACGGTAGAAGTCTATAGGTTATTAGTGAGTACAAGGGTGCATGTAGTGATAAGCATGCATTTTGTACTATGAAACCTATATTGCGGAAACTGTTCCTAGATGGAATTGAATCAGTAACTTACTGATAGTGATCTGGGAGTACACCCATTGTACTATTGACCCACAGGTTGATGAAGACAAGTTAATTACTTTGTGAAAGTTTGTAAAATATTATAAATTTATTTCTATTTTTCAATAAAGACATGCCATTGTGGTATGATTGTGGGTTAAAAAAAAAAAATTAAATAAATAATAATAATAATAAATATGTAATCTGTTAATAGATTATTTTTGAAAAAATAAAAATAAAAATTTTGTTACATTTGTTTTTTTTTATAATGAAAATTAGATTTGATTTTTAAATATTTCTTTATAAATCTTCTATAATAATTTTCTATAGGCACAGTTCATATAGGAACAAACAAATTAATAGTTAAAGAATTAAATAAATATAATCAAGTAAGATTCTTGAGTACTTGGTTAAGAAGAAGATATAACAATTTGAATACTATTAATCTACTTAATATAGAGATCAAAACAGTAACCCAGGCAATTAGTAACAAAAATCTAATTAAAAAATATATCAGATACATTATCAATAAAGTTTTAATCTCTCATATAAAGTATAGAATACAGTATATATACTTGAATGAGAAAGTTTGCAATGATTTAATAACCATATACAAGAAAGCTTTAAAAAACAAAGCTTTAATTTGTAAAACAATGTCAAATAGTTGTATACACAACAAACAAATCTATGGATTCATAACCTGTAATGTGCTGTTTTCTATAAAAAGCCATTTTATATACTGGTCCAGTGGGCATTGGGATTGTGATCTCCAGAAAAGGTGTAGTAGTGTGATAATCATCCAGTAGAAGCATGATGGTCACCAAGATCGGTAATATGAAGCACTAAGCCCCTCAGGGATTGTTGATGGAACTTTAACGGACGATGTAAGTGAATCACTGGTGCTATCCCTATGTAGGAGTTGTGTTTTGTTTGATAAATAACCCCTAGATTTGGTAGCTAACGCCAATCGAGAATCTGATGGATAAGTCTACTAGGAGATTCAGGAGTCATGTCCCTATTGGTGAATAACCCCTAGGTTTGATAGCATGTGCCAACCATTGGACAAAGTTCTCTAAGTATTGACTAGGCAGTGCATAGATGCATTTAGATCTATTCGTAGTTATAATATCAAGTTTAGACTTAATTTTTTTTTTTTTGTGGATTTGTATATATAAATAAAAACATTATTTTTTTATAAGATAAGATTTTCAATTGTTATAATTATTGATAAATACAAAATAAATAATACAAATTATATCCATTTATATATTCCCTGATTATAATAAATTTACAAATATTTTTAATAATTACTTGGGTACAATCTGGATTATAAAATTCATCTCTGCAACACTAAACATGAATTGTTCTATAAAAGGCGGTGCTGATAGAAAATTTGTCTATTTAAATAACATGTTATCGATAAAATATTGTCTACTTTAACTATATAATTTTATTTTTTTTATAAATAAATGGTTTTTTACATACAATATAAGAATAAATATTGGTTTTTTAAAAAAACTTTAATTAAGGTTTGATAAGAAATTGAAAATTCAGTAACTAGAGTTTATTTAGGTATTCATCCTATTTTTGAATTATTCTTTATCTTATTATTTTTCTTTGTAAATAATCTGAAATTTTAATTATTTGATAATTTTTGATACAAGTTTTTGATATTCTAAAGGATGCATGTGCTTTTAGCAATAGATAAACCTTCTCTTCATAGTACTTCTATAGCATGACGTTCATTATCTAAAAGATCTTTTTTATATCTCATTTTTTTATATAGGCCATAATTGAAAAAAAAATTTTATTTAAATAATGAAACAAACAAAAACAGACGTCTTTTTTAATACGCAGTATTGATGCACGTTCAATTTAATATTAATTGTCCTTTATCGCAAAAATAAAATATGATTTGTTACTATCGGTTGGATCTGTACAATGAACATCCAGTGTATAGTGTCACGTTACACATACGGATATTACAAACGCGACAAATGAATGTCGAACGTGTTAGTCGCGTTTTTCTGTGTCAAACTCTTACTTACTATTATCTTACAATGTCTGCTACTGGTTGGGACGCCGGAAAAATTTATAGTGCGGGAGTTCATCAAACCCAAACTCGGAACGATTCTAGAGTCGTGATTGAGTCGAAATTTTATAATTTTGTAGACCAATTTCGAGTCGAGGAACACTTTATCTATAGGTATTATGAAATTTTGAAATTGTACTTCTCAAAATGAATAAAAGAAACTTTGTTTCTATACATTATTGACTATTATTGGAATGATTTTGCAGGGAAAAAATTAAAAGAAATGCCGAGGGCCGACACTACAAACTCGATGTTCAGATAGAACATCTCGATGAAGTTGATAGAAGCCTTTCTGATAAGCTCAAAGCTAGTCCTGCGGAAGTCTTGCCGCTGGTATATGCTTGGTTATAGTTGTTTTTGTGTTTTTGGCTTGATATTAAATCGCATTATCATTTTAATTATTCAAGTTTGAGATGGCAGTGCAAAATTTGGCAAAACAACTTCTGAGTGATGAATCGATTCCTTCGTTTCAAATTCTGCTTCGTTCAAAAGATACCATTCAAAATTTAAGAAAACTCAGTGTAAGGATTATATATATATGTATATAATTTTTTTTTTTTTTTTTGAAATATTTCTATATTTTGATTTTCCTTTTCTCTGTCTAGTCAGACAACATATCCCAGCTTGTTCATGTTTCTGGAATCATCATTGCGGCCACCAATTTGACCGCCAAAGCTACACATATTCAGATTATGTGTAAAACTTGTCGGCAATATAAAACGATGCCCGTTGCCGGTGGCTTCTCGGGAATCCAATTACCTCGAGCCTGTGATAGGTAAAATTTAGCTATCATTAATTTTATAATAAATTTCTAATCACTGAAAGTCTGTCTTGTGTCCAGCGACCCAAATGGTTTGGGACCCAAAGATTGTGGACTCGATCCTTATGTCATAATTCATGATAAATGTACTTTTGTGGATCAACAAGTTTTGAAACTTCAAGAACTTCCCGAGTTGCTTCCTGTCGGCGATTTACCTCGTCATATAACGGTTCATGTGGATAGGTGGTTATTTAACTTCTTCAAGTGAATGTAATAGATTTTAATAAGAGTATCAAAATATAAATTTTCTATATTATATTAGATATTTAACCAATAGGGTGGTTCCTGGGAGGCGTGTCACTATTGTGGGGATTTATGACATTTTCCAGAGTTTTTCCTCTAAGGTATGTGCTCAAATAAATTGATATTACTTGATTGTGTTAATACTTATTCGCGCTGATATTTGGGCTTCAGAAACAAGGTCAAGGTATAGGGACTCGTACGTCATATATAAAAGCTCTTGGACTTGAACTTGATAATGAACAAAGCGGACAAGATTTGAATAACTACACGCACGCTGAAGAAGAGGAAATAATTGCATTGTCTCAAAGACCTGATTTTTATGAAGTTTTCACAAGCAGTATTGCTCCGTCAATCTATGGAAACCAAGGTTACCTTTCGATTTTATTCTGAATTTATTGTCCTGATAGTTGGTATAAATAATTGTAACGCATTATTTTTAGAAATTAAAAAAGCGATTTCTTGCTTGCTTTTCGGTGGAAGTAAAAAGGTCTTGGCAGATGGAATGAGATTAAGAGGCGATATTAACGTTTTGTTGTTGGGTGATCCTGGAACTGCAAAAAGTCAATTTCTGAAATTCGTGCATCAGGTATATTTTTCTCTTTTATGTGCAACATATGAAAACTCGAGTTTTTGATGAATTTTTTTTTATAGGTTGCTCCTGTTGCTGTCTACACCTCAGGAAAAGGTAGCAGTGCGGCGGGTCTGACCGCAGCTGTAGTTCGGGATGTTGCCACTGTAAGATATTGATTAATTTGTTTATTGAACATATTAATGAATATATACCAACGTTTTTTCTATTTATCAGCGCGAATTTCATCTTGAAGGCGGAGCAATGGTATTGGCAGACGGAGGAGTAATATGTATAGATGAATTCGACAAAATGCGGGATGAAGATCGAGTAGCCATTCACGAAGCTATGGAGCAGCAAACTATTTCTATTGCCAAGGCTGGTATAACCACTATCCTGAATACACGCACCTCAGTATTGGCTGCCGCTAATCCAATATTCGGTCGTTATGACGACTTGAAAACACCAGGAGAGGTATGATAATAAATAGGCTTTATCAGTTGCTATGATTGGCTTATTTCTGAATATATATTAACGTAATTTAAAGAACATTGACTTTCAAACTACGATATTGTCGAGATTTGATATGATTTTTATCGTGAAAGATGAGCACAACGACTCTCGAGATCGGGTAATATATTAGTGCATTAGTATTGTAATGATATACAGTATTTCACAACTCATAGTTGTTTTGTTTAGGACATTGCTCGGCATGTGTTGACAATTCATATGCACCGTGCGCCTCCGGAATCAGCCGTGGGTGAAGTCGATATTGCAACTATGAGAAAATACATAGGTTATGCCCGACTGTAAGCTATTCTACTAAAATTTTGTTAACACAATTAAATACTTTTTAATTTGAAATTTTTTTATAGGAAATGCGCCCCGAGATTGTCTGCAGAAGCAGCAGAAAAATTGAGTAGTCATTTTGTTTCTATTCGATCTGAAGTGAAGAGAATAGAACAAGACACTGGAACGCGGTCGACAATTCCGATTACAATTAGGTATTTTTTTAGTTCTTAATATTCTATATAATATTCTATATTTCCTCACTGACACTAAATCATACTATAGACAATTAGAAGCTATTGTCCGTATCTCCGAATCTTTAGCAAAAATGACCTTATCTCCACGAGTATCTGAACAACATGTGGATGAGGCCATTCGGCTATTCAAAAAATCAACCATGGATGCTTTGCAATCCGGAGAAGGTAATCACATTCTCTACTATTGTTTTGGCTAGTTTTTTTAAAAATATTAATACAGAATCTACTTAATAGTGGAAGGTATTTCACAAGCCCAAATGGCGCGTGAAGTGAAAAACGCAGAAAAGGAAATTAGAAATCGCATTCCGATAGGTTCGAGGACTTCTGTGCAGCGGATAATTAAGGATCTTGAAAAGGTATATTCGTTATGGTTAATAAACATTATCTATCATAACTAATCACCTGTTTGTTAATTTTCTTACATAGAATCAGTACAAACCTATTATCGTAGAACGAGCTATTGATATTTTAGTAAGACGGGAAGTCCTGCAATATCGAAATCAGCGAAAAGTTATTTTTAGGGCAGGTGTATAACAGTGAAGGTTATTTTTTGTTCGCTTATTTCTACAAAGTTTGATGTTCTTCGAAAAGAACGGATAATTTAGTAAAATAATTATTATAACTAGTTGTATATGAATGATTATTATTTTTTGCTTGTATTCATTATTCTCTGTGTTCGTTATGTGGCAAATGAACCAAATATGAATTCTTGGGAATAAAATTACAAAGTATATTACTAAAAATCTATAAAAATGGTTTGATATTTCTATCTTATCTCTTTAAATCAATATTTTATTAAGTATTTAATTAGAATATACAAGTACAGTATATTAGGAAAAAAATTACTTTGTTATTGAAGTTTTTATACTATGTTAATAAAAAAGATTTGAATAATTAAAAAATTCTTTCTGCTATATAAAAAATCTTGATTTTTTGATTACTAAAATCCTATTACTATTTTTGAAACTTTTAAGAAATTTTTTATAAATAATTATTATTATCTCTTTCTTATTTGCAAATTTTTTAAATCAAAAACTTGATTTTTAAAAATAAAAAAGTCTAATAATATCTTTATTACTAATAATAAAAAAGTTTTAAAGAAAGAAAAACCAATTGCAAAAATCTTTATATTTTTAAACAAATTATTTTTTTTGATCCCTTATTAGGATAATTATTATTAAACTTTTAATAAACTATATATTTTATATATTATTAAATAATCTATAAATTAATAGTATAATAATAATATTTTCAAGTTATCAAATACTATTTTCAAGTTCAATACTAATAATTATAATTTTAAATCTAAATTTGATTGATCTAAAAATCTGATTCAATTTGATCAAATCAAAATTTAAATTATTTGGTCTATTAAACCTATAGATTAATAGTATAGTGATAGTGTTCTTAGGTTATAATTATAAGATCTGCAGTTTAATATCACTTAAGAATAAAAAATCTGAAATTACATTCTGATCAAATTTATCAATTATCTTGTAAAAGATATATTCAATTATTCAGAACAAGTTTAAAACAGGTTAAGTTATATGAAGATAGAACTTTTAATCTTTTATTGATTAGAGAATAAGATTTATAATTATATTATTGGAAAATTTGTATAAATAAAGGTTTTTGATTTAACCTATCATAAAATACTTCAAGACTTTCCTGCTTTGATAAATTCTAGAATTTTAACTCTTTTAGTTCATGATTTCCTAATCTGATACTTTGTTTAATTGAAAATTAGTTAATAAGGACTGATTTAATATCATATATAGTGATAAAAAAGATAATATACCTCTTTTTAAAACCTGAGAAAATAATATTTGAGTATATTGAAGAATATATAAAAAAAAAATCTTATTAGATACATATATAGCCATGTTAGTTTAATATACTGTATATTTAAAAAAAAAAATTTTAATAAGCTTAATACTAAACTAATTAAAACTTACTATTAATAATTAAGTATTCAACCATTCAACTTTCAACTGAATTAACTTATTTTCTGAGCATAAATTGATTTAATTAGATCAGTTACAATAAGTTATTATTAATCTATTTATATATAGAAATATATAGTTTATAAAATAATTGATGTAATAATAATAATATAATATTAATAAAGTTTTGCATTTATAATAATATCTAGTTATTATTTAAACAAAAAAAATTTTTTTTAATCTGTTTATAATTAAATTAATTTTTAAGATCCAATTAGATTAAATTTAAATTTTAAAACCAATTAGATTCATTTGAATCTAAATAATTTTAAATTTTAAAATGTATAGTATAGTTTTCAAATTTTGAAGCTAATATTAATTTAATAATTTTTAAAAAAAAACTCTTTCTACTGATCCTCAAATTTTCAGAAAATTTTCTTTTTTGATAATTTTTTGAGAAAATAGAAACTAGCCAAAAAACAAGAGAAACCATTTTTACAACTAAACAACTTATAAAAACAACTACAAGAACTCTTTATAGAGTGCAGAAGAGTAAGTTTTATAAAAATTATTAACTTCTACTATATAAATTTTTTCTTATAGAAAGAAAAAAACAACAAAAAAAAACTGAATCACAGTAAGCTCTTGGAAGTCCAACATTAATCTCACAAAGCTTCTAGCCAGGCCAGTACAGGTTAATACCTTTCTAGACATTAAGAGAAGCTTTACAAACAATAACTCA